AGTTTCCATGTTAATTGTTTCTGGTTCCACATGACGCTCATTGTCCTGTGCTTTCATTGATTGGCTATTTGGTTATTATTCTCATCTGTTCTGCATTATGTCTTGTTACCTGTGTATTTAAGTGCCTGTTCTTTGAGGTTTTGCTGTAGTTGAATGAGTTTGTGAGAAATACTCTGTGTGTTGCTGCTCCCTTTGGTTCTCCTAGTGTTGCTGCTCCCTTTGGTTCTCCTAGTGTTGCTGCTCCCTTTGGTTCTCATAGTGTTGCTGCTCCCTTTGGTTCTCCTAGTGTTGCCCTGTTTCTGAGTCATGTTATCTGTAGTTAGTTCATGTTTCTCCTTCTTTGCTTTTGACCCTTCATGGTTCTGTTATTTTGTGCCTTCCCTGTTGTAGTCAGTTTTGCTTAATAAACCCTTTCTTTCTCAGAGCTGCAAATGGATTGTCACCTGTTTTCCCCACCTGCACAATGACTCTACATGACAGGTCAGCTCCTTGCTCATGGAACAAATTGCTTAACCTAGTCGTAGGAACTCAGTCATTAAAAGAGTGTCTGTATCTATAACAAATTGTTCAGTTTTTCCTCTACAGAGTTGTCACATCAATGTTCACATTATTATATTGTAATGGGAAATGTTATTTGTGTTACTATCTGCTCTGGCCTGCCCTGTCCTATTCCGGTTAGGGCCAGTAGATGGCACTGCTGGTCCTCCTACACCCTCCTTCCCAACCTGACCAGGAGGACATTCCATGTCTGTCCCTTATCCCCTCGTTAGTTGGGTATATAAATGCAGGCTTGCCACTACCCCTAATAAAGCTCCCCTTTGGAAATGAAATGAGAAGAGCTGAGTTCTGTCTTCCTGTCCTCACCTGCTGGCATAAAAATTTGTGGTTAAACAATTATAGCTTATTTTTACTATTATCTTAATATACTATTAATGTTAATATTATTGATAAACTACAATGGATTTAAGTGTATACAGCCCTGTTAAAATGCCAGGTTTTTGTGATGTAAGACAATTAGACCACAATAAATCATTTAAAAACTTTTCCCACCTTTAATGTGACCTATAACCTGTACAATTGGAAAAACATATCTTTTGGGGGACAATATAATAAAAGAAAAAACGTACACTAAGTTGAATAAGTATGCAAGGGTTAAGGGTCTAAACAAATACTTTGTTGAAGCACCTTTTGATTTAATTATAGCATTCAGTCTTTTTGGGTAGGAGGCTATCAGCATGTCACATCTTGACTTGGCAATATTTGCCTACTCTTCCTTGCAAAAAATTGCTCCAGATTGCGAGGGCATCTCTTGTGCACAGCCTCCTTCAGGTAACCCCACAGATATTTAATTGGATTTAGGTCTGGGCTCTGGCTGGGTCATTCCAAAACATTCCTTTTCTTCTGGTGAAGCCATTGTTTAATTGATTTGGATGTATTCATAGGGTCATAGTTGATGGTATTAGGTCAATTAAAGGTGAAAATCCTCTTCATCTTCAGCTTTCTAGCAGACACCTGAAGGTTTTAGGCCATAATTTTAGCACTTGCCCCTTAGTTAACATTCAGACACATGTGTCTGAACAACTAACGGAAAAATGACATTTGATAAATCAAACTGGTCTGTTTGTCAATAATTACCAAAAACAATGCTATGCATGTCATCCAATTTAGTTTGTGGCTGATTTGTGCTGTGTATAATTAGGGTCAAAACATTGCTAACATAGACATGACATTATATATCAGTGCTTACCAGGAGGGGGGCATCGTACAGTCAGGCACCTTGGTGCTTCNCATTTGATAAATCAAACTGGTCTGTTTGTCAATAATTACCAAAAACAATGCTATGCATGTCATCCAATTTAGTTTGTGGCTGATTTGTGCTGTGTCTAATTAGGGTCAAAACATTGCTAACATAGACATGACATTATATATCAGTGCTTACCAGGAGGGGGGCATCGTACAGTCAGGCACCTTGGTGCTTCTCTCATCTGGGATGCTTTTTGGCTCCTGAGCACAGACATCTACTCCCAGTCGAGCTGTCATCTGTTCATCAATGATGTTTTTTTGGTTATTTTAAAGTTGTCCCAGTTGAAACGACTGGGGACAGTACCCATCTTTAATCGAGCACTCCATTCAATATAATCAGCAGCCGCAAAGTGCTGACTGCTGACCAAGATGCTTCCCTTGCAAATAACAAAATTAACCTTTTCATCTCTCTTGATAGCTTTCACTTACTTACTTCTTTGATCCTCAAGGGTTTGAAATTCATAAAAATTAAGGTAAAGCTGTTTCTGTTTTGAGTTCCCAGAAACTCTTGATCTTGGACTGCGCCATTGTTTATATACATCGAATGTCATCACAGGAAGTAGTTTTACCCAGAAATGTAAAGAAGACTAATTATAGGGCATACAGGAAGAGTCAGATTACTGCAAAATTAAGAGATGCTATTCTATCCTAGTTTTTGCACCCGGGACTAAGTGAAGAAAAAAAAATCACCCTCCTTGTCTCACCAGCCAAGGTTGGGAAGGAAACTAGCTAGGTCTCAAAAGGAAAGTGAAACTCCTTATCTCACTGGCCAAGGCTGCAAAGGATAGGAAGTACAAGAGAAGATGACAGCACTAATAAAGGCAATTTATGGCAGACAGTCTTTGTATTCCTCAGTGTTAATAAACATTCCTCAGCCTTCTGTTTTGTTCCACCCAAGACCCCTGGAGCCACTTGGGGCAGATTCAGAGAAAGGAATGCTCAAAAAATGTGAAATCATGAACAATTCTGGACATTCCCTCTGTGGGGCACTCTCTTGGAGCACTTTTAACCTCTGGCTCATCCCACCATGGTGCGTGTGCTAAGAAATGCTACTGAGGATCCTGCCAACCTGCCAACACCAGGCACTACAATAGCTCCTCCCGCTGTGTCAGCCCTCACCCCCAGCCATAACACATGCCAGGGCAGCATTGCATCTGTGAAGCAGTTAGCACTGGACTTTACTTTAATTGTGCATTTACCACTGGTACATTTTTTATATTTATTTCCTGATTAATATTCTGTTTACACTGTAAAAAGTGTTACTTAGATATAACTTGAAAAAAATAAGGCAACATTTTCCAAGCATTTTTTGCAAGTTTAGTGAACTAGTTGGTATTTTGAGTTGGGAAAACTTAATAATATGCATTTCGATGTATGCTATTAGATTAAGCACAATTTGCAGAAAACAGCCAAAAATTGATTTCAACCAATTTAAAAAAATGTCAGCATATCAAACACATCAGACTTAATTAAAATAAGTAATATTTACATGAACAAATAAGAATTCGAGTTGAATGAATTCATGTACTCTATCAATAGATTTTTATGAATCTGCCCTTTGTTTTAAGAGCTGAAACTGCTTCAAATAATTAGTTAGGATCAATATAACTTTAACAAATAATGAGAGATATCAATTTCCAGCATTTATTAAATAATTACCATATGCAAACAATGGCAATAGGCTGAAAAGTTGTTCAACATGAAAAAGTGCTGCCTTCACAGTGTGTGTATATAACATTTTAACATCAAATTAAAGCTTTTGACCTTATAAAGGGCAGCCAGAACATTCTTGAACAGACAACATACAGTTGTGTTCAAAATTATTCAACCCCCAATGCTGTAAAGGGTTTTAGGGAATTCAGTGTACATTTGTAATTGTGTTCAGAATGAAATCTTACAAGGACTTTTTAAAGAACCAAATGCAACTAAAATTACATCAATTGTTTTTGTAATACAGTATTAAATGTTTTTTTGTCATTTCTTCATTGACACAATTATTCAACCCCTTAAAGACTACCACTCTTAAGAACAGAGGTTCATTCAAGTGTTTTCGATCAGGTATTGAAAACACCTGTGGATGTCAATGAGCAGCAATCAAGCATAATAAGCACCAATTAGGCAGATTTAAAATGACTGTGATACTCAGCTCCTTCTAGACATTTACTGGTGTGTTTACAAACATGGTGAAGTCAAGAGAATGGTCCAGGAAGCCAAGAGAAGAGGTGATTTCTCTTCACAAGAAGGGCAATGGCCATAAGAAGATTGCAAAGATGTTAAACATTCCAAGAGACACCATAGGAAGCATCATTCGCAAATTCAAGGCAAAGGGCACTGTTGAAACGCTACCTGGTCGTGGCAGAAAGAAGATGCTGACTTCGACTGCTGTGCGCTACCTGAAGCGCAAAGTGTAGAAAAGTCCCCGTGTGACTGCTGAGGAACTGAGAAAAGATTTGTCAGATGCGGGTACTGAAGTTTCAGCTCAGACAATAAGGCGCACACTGCGTACTGAAGGCCTCCATGCCAGAACTCCCAGGCGCACCCCCTTACTGTCTCCAAAGAATAAGAAGAGTCAACTGCAGTATGCCAAAAGTCATGTGGACAAACCACAAAAGTTTTGGGATAGTGTTCTGTGGACTGATGAAACAAAATTAGAACTGTTTGGGCCCATGGATCAACGCTATGTTTGGAGGAGGAAGAACAAGGCCTATGAAGAAAAGAACACCTTGACTACTGTGAAGCATGGTGGGGGGTCAATCATGCTTTGGGGCTGTTTTGCTTCTGCAGGTACAGGGATGCTTCAGCGTGTGGAAGGTACCATGAATTCTCTTCAGTACCAGGAGATATTGGAAGAAAATGTGATGCAGTCCGTCACAAACCTGAGGCTTGGGAGACGTTGGACCTTTCAACAGGACAATGATCCCAAGCATACCTCCAAGTCCACTAGAGCATGGTTGCAGATTAAAGGCTGGAACATTTTCAGTCACCAGACTTAAATCCGATTGAGAACCTCTGGTGGCCATCGCAGTCACCAGACTTAAATCCGATTGAGAACCTCTGGTGGGACTTAAAGAAAGCAGTTGCTGCGCGCAAGCCTAAGAATGTGACTGAACTGGAGGCTTTTGCCCATGAAGAATGGGCTAAGATACC